CACCATAAAGATTCAACCAAAATTTCGACTGTCCAGTGTCGGTCCCTCAGTACAAGATTTGGAAGATATGATTTGAAGAATGTACCTAATAGATAAAAAGTATGTATGCACTCACACATTTTTTTACTCTGCAAACATATTAGCTTCAATGTATAATGTATGCCACTATTTACAAGAAAACTCAGATATTTTGAACTGAACTAAAATGGCAAGTACCACTATTAAGTTAGATGAAGTCCCATTGTTGGGTTCGATCACGGTAAATCCTTTCCATGAAAAATTTCCTCCACATTTTAGGAAAATATTAATACTGGATGAATTTCATTATCATCATCATTGGTGGTACAGCCCTATAAAAGAGCCTCGACCTTCCCAAATCTATTACGCCAGTCTGTTCTATCCATTGCCAACTGTTCCCAGTTTGCTGCGCCTATTTTTCTAACATCCTCATCTACACCATCAATCTATCTGAGTTTTGGCCTACCCCTACTTCTACTTCCCACATGTTGTGACATAAGGATTCTTCTAGGAGTGTAGTTCTGCTGTGATCTTGCCAGATGTCCTGTCCATCGTAGTCTTCCTATTTTGATAAGAGATACTACGTCTTTACCACCAAATATATGTTTATATCTCGTAGTTGTACCTTTTTCTCCAAACACCATTTTCACAGATACCACCGAATATTCTTCTCAGGGTCTGTCGTTCAAATATAAGCAGGAAGTTTTCATCTGCATTGGAAATGGTCCATGTCGCCGATCCATATGTCAACACTGGTTGTATAAGGGTTTTGTATATGGTTATTTTTGTTTTTTTGCTTAAGTTTCTGCTTCTCATATGTCTACTCAGTCCAGAATAGCATTTGTTTGCTAGGATTATTCTTCGCTTGATTTCTTCCGTCATGACGTTCTCCTTGGTGATCAGGGAGCCTAAGTATGTGAATTTGTCCACCACTTCAAAGGTAGAGTTATCAACCGTGAATTGGTGGCCGATGTTTCTGGCTCTATTGTTGGGTGTTGATGCCATTATCTTAGTTTTCTCCTCATTTACTTGTAGCCCCATATTTTTTGAGGCATTTGACAAGGCGGTATACATTTCTTCTAGCTTGGGAAAATTTGGGATGATTTATTAAAAATGTTTCCTCTGTTGTCTATTTGGGCATCCCTAACCGACTTTTCCAGAGCTATGTTGAAAAGGAGACACGCCAACGCATCTCCCTGTCTCAGCATAACATGCATTTCAAATGCCTATGACTGTTCGCACTGTATTTCAACTTTGCAAACAACTTTACGCATTGTACCCTTAACTAATCTTATTAGTTTATCGGGGATGTGGAATTCATCCATGGCTTCATATAATTTATTTCTTAGGACACTATCATAGGCCGATTTAAAATCTACGAAAATATGGTATGTGTCGATATTGAATTCATTGGGTTTTTCCAGTATTTTCCTTAGCACAAAGATCTGCTCTGTTGTTGATCGACCAGGCCTAAAACCACTTTGATATTCGCCAAGAAGCTCCTCTGAATATGCACTGAGGCAACTATATAAAATACTCGAAAATATTTTGTATGCTGTATTAAGGAGGGTTATTTCCCTATACTTGTTTGCTAAGCTGAAAGGTCCTAACTGACAAAATCGCAGTTTTGGTCCTAACGGTACTGGGTGGTAGCGAAAAGCATTCTGTATCTTCCTTTCAAAGCTGAGCTGTCCTATGTGTCATTAAATAGCTGTTTTGAAGTGATCCGTGTTGTCCTTAGTTCAAACTAAAAGCTGATTACTAAGCATTACGTCCTATCTGAGCTTTACAAACCTGAAGTGTCCCATTGTAACAGACAGGACAGTTAGTATTGCAATATGTAATGCTACCTTACAGATAGGACATATTCAGCATTGCACCTTAAAACAACATAACCTAAAAATCGAAAATATTTGTTTTCGGTAGTTTTTAGTCTTGAACATTCTTTATGTCATTTAGTCATGATATTCTTTACTTGAAGCTAAAAAGTATTTTCGACCTACCGTATCTCATTATCGTCGGGAGCATGCTCCAAATAGTCTATATATACCATCGGATATTTCAATTACAATGGTGTACAATGACTACAAAATAAAGAATCCCGATTGTCAGGGTAGTTATGAACTCTATTGTCAGGAAATTGCAAAACTCAACATATCGTTTGTACAACTTGGCTGTGAAGAGTGCTTCCAGTGTGCATCATATGATCTCCATAAGACCGAAACCAATCATATTAATCCAACACACAATTGTGTAGTGTGTGAAAACTATGTACCTCACAGAAATAAATATATTATTGCAGAAAAAGTATAAAAAAGATGCGGAATCGCAACTAAAATCATCAAATCTCATAGTTTCAGCAGCTCTTCAGAAAGTAAATGCTTTCAAGAGGAGATATATGTTTAAATAAATCATTTTTGCTAGGCGCATAATTGCTTTTAACGGACGTTTTGTTGCTGTCGGGAAAGGTAGGAACGTCCGTCCTTTAGGAATTCTGTGACACGAAGGAATATCAGGAAGAAGAAAAGAAGATATAGTGAAGAACATATATACTTTCTAAACATTCTTCCTCAAAAATAGGAATAAAAAACCAATAACAATTTGGCTGAATAAGAACAAGAACAAGAATTGGTGTTTGTTCAGCTTTTTAGTCTATATAGTAAATGCTACAGAAGTTAACTTAAAATAATTAACCATAAAAAATTTTGAGTGCTGACACACGTTTATGTCCGCGGACCATTTTCACCACCAGGTAGAAAAATCATTAAAAAGGATCAAAACTATTTGGGATTTTAATTACTATGTTCAATGTGTTCTAAATTCGACAAAACCGACCGATCTTGTAGCATTAGAGAATAGACATTTGTATGAGTCGGCAGATTTCAGTTCAAAATACAAATTAAAAGACTTATGCCACGCTTGTATCTCAATAATATTTGGCTTGCAATTTTTACGAGAGGCGAGAAAACATTAGAATATACAAACTCGTATTACACAGAAGATTTGACAGAACTGAACTTTTTAACTGCAGGTACATTTAAAACTGGTGTGACAATTCCACCTCCACAAACCTCCAACCGAAGAATTAGTCAAGAGAGAACGCAGAAGTTGCTGAATAACCTGCAAACTATAATTCCAGCTCCAGCCAACTGGAGACACTTTTGGGAAGAATTACCAGTAGGCTATGTAGCTGAATAGCACGAAAATGGAGTATTATCCATTATAAGTATTTTTAGAACATTAGAGGGCTATACTAATGTAATGTAAAAAATAAATGTCTCGTTATAGTGCAATAAAAGTTCGTTATAAAAAAATCTTGTCCTATCTGAGATTTTTAATAAAATCCTAAGCTGAACCGTCCTATCTATCAAAATTCATGTATCCTCTAAACTAATTACTTCCTTGGATTATCCCATAAATTCTATATACACAAATTAAGTTCATTCAAAATTACAGTTCGATATCAATTTTTCTCAAAATAGCACAATTGGTAGATAGGACCTTTCAGCTTAGCAGGGCAGTATAGTTTCTAGGGATGGTTGGAACAGGGATTTTTCAACAACTGTTACAACCTGTTTCAGTTCCAAAAATTACCTGTTTCAAGAAAACTGCTTCAGTTCCAAACTGTTCCAAGTCTAACACTGTGTTATGGGTTGTTTCAGTACCGGTTCGGTTTGTTCCAGAAAGGATGTGGCATTAACAATAGACCATTGTATTTGTGGTTGTATATTTTGAAAGTTTGAAGTTTTGTCGTGAGTCGACAATTCACAGTTTACAATCATGGTTTATGCGCATGCACATACTTTCCACTCCACTGGAACTGCAACAACCATATAAAAGAACAGCAATGCAACACCAGTCTCTGAAGTAATTGTAAATACAATGGTCTGTTGTATGATAAAAAACTGTTATATTGGAAACAGGAAAACTTATTGATCAATATCTGTTCCAACCTGTTCCAAATAAAAACCTGTTTCGAAAAGAACAGATCCTGTTCCAAAGTGGCATCTCTAATAGTTTCTACATTCCAATTGATCACCCTTTTTATGTAGCGGGCAAACGATCCCAATACACTACTTTTCCGGGATTTTTTCCTCATTCCAGGCTCTCAGTATGATTTTATATACAGGGTGGTGAATCGTTAAACGGGCCATAGAAAACTCAATGAGAAATTCTAAATTGTTGAATTCCTGCTTCCCTAATTATTTTACACCAAAAGTCATGGGAAACTATTTGTAGAGGACTCAAATATGTATCGAAAACAATTGTTAAAATTGTTCTACGACTTAAACGCATTCCAAAATTTTGCTAAAATATAATAAATTTTTCAGGCCACCCCTAAAAGTCAGGCCAGACGCCGTGAAAAGAATGTGTATTACGTGTTGCGTTTTGTCATATTGACGTTTCTAATATTTGACAATATTTAAATCAACTATATTATATTTATTATTCAAAAGTAAAATTATATTGATTAAAAAATGTACTCAGTTAAGGAGAAAAGAGCAATAATAAAAATGTTTTATTCATGTTTTATTATAACATTTGTTATAGTTTTATGTTTAGAAATTATCATATATTATTATTAGGAATAAAGATCACAGTAACAGTATATTGGAATTCATTGAATTGTTGTATAACTTAACATGGAATTAAATTTTAGTGAATTAGAATATCTTACGTTAAATAAAGATCCGGTAGTGACAGGAAAAGGTTCGCGCTATTGCCTGAATACAACATTATGCGATTTTTCGTCAACTGAGTACATTTCATTATATTGATCGATTTGTAAACAATATAATTTATTGTTCACAAAGTAATATTGTTCAGTAGTAGTAGTATTTAGTAAAATTCATTGTTTATAATTTAATCATAAAATAAAAAAAATTGACAATTCAAATTGTCAAACATCTGACATCGATATGATAAATGGATAGAACACACACTTTTTAATATAGTCTTGTATTACCGATGGCCTAACTATTAGGGGTGGTCTGAAAAATCTATTATATTTTTGCAAAATTTTGAAGTACATTTGATTCGTAGAACGGTTTTAACATTTGTTTTTAATTCAGAATTTAGTCCTCTACAAATAGTTTTTTATAACTTTTGATCTAAAATAATTAGGGAAGCAGCAATTCAACAATTTAAAATTTCCCATTGAGTTTCCTATGGCCCGTTTGGCGATTCACCACCCGGTATATGATTAGTCAGAGTAGCACCTACACATTTAATAAGTTCCGCGGGTATACCATCACTTCCTGGAGATTTATTCTATTTTAGGTGTTTTATTGCATCCCGTACTTCTTGAATTGATGGAGGGTCCAATGGTGTATTGTTGCTTGCTCCTGGGGGTGATTGATTTGGATCTTCTACTTCGATAATAAGTAGTTCTTTATAGTGTTCCACCCACCTTTTCAATACTTCTTCTTTTGTATTGAGTATATGTCGAAAAACTGAGGGTAACACAAAGGCGAATGGAGAGATCAATGCTGGGCCTGACCTTAAAAGATCGCGTGAGAAATGAGGAGATACGCCGTGCGAACTGGCGTAGACGATATTATACTGCGAATCAATAAACAAAAGTGGAGGTGGGTTGGACATGTTGCTAGAATAGAAGACGAAAGATGGACGAAGAGATTATTGAAGCGAAGTCGAGGCAGACCACCCACCCGATGGACCGACGACCTAAGGAGAATAGAAACAAACTGGATTGCAGCAGCTAGAGATAGAGAGAACTGGAGACGTTTGGAGGAGGCCTACATCCAAGAATGGATGTGAAAATGGGGCTGGATGATGATGATGATATGCCCCTCCTTATCCTTACATAGTCCGATCCTTTGTTTAAATTCTTTTCTTGCATTTACTGGATGAATTTAATTCTTCAGAATTTGTGGAAATTCTAATAGTTCAGGAAAAAATATGTACCTGACCCACTAAATGTAGGAGCACTACGGTGTAAGGCATACATATACAAACAAATTGTTTTATCACATAAATATTATCATGTTAAAAAAACCTTACCTCTAGTTTCTTGATATTGGTCCAACAATAGTCTAACTTTATTAAAACCAATGGAAGAATTCTGATTCTTTATCTTTACTACAGCTAAAACTTGACTGAACTCCGCACAAAAATGAATACATAGTTTCTCGATAATCTTCTCTAAAAATGTGCTTTTCTTTACTAAAATTCTCATGTCGTTTGACGGTTTCATAACGTTCTCGAAACGTTCCAATTTCATTGGTTGAAACTTGGGGTTGCTCTGTGGGAAGTTCGTTCGCACCCATTTATGTATTATGCTGTGATCGTAAGTGACTAGCAGATAGTTTTGTTGTAAGTATATGTTTAAAATAAAATTTTTCAGCTAAAAGAAAGGATGGATTTATTATATATGATTGAAAAAAACACGCAATTTGATGATATTAAATAAGTGTATTACCATTTATTAATACGTAAAGCATATGCATTGGAATGGATTCGAAATTATTTAACCCAGAAAATGAAGCATTTAAAAACCGAAAAATTACTATATAAAATAGTAATACGACTACACCCTACCAAAGGCTTTCCAACCAATTAGCCTAACATCATTTCTGTTGAAAACGATGGAAAGGCTATGCGAGAGGTACATAAGGGATGAAGTTATGGTCCATAACCCACTTCACCCAAATCAGCATGCATATACTTCGGGAAGATCTACCGATTCTGCACTGCATCAGGTAGTGGGAAGAATTGAAATATCGCTGGATAATAAAGAATCCATCCTAGGTATATTCATAGACATCGAGGGAGTGTTTGGTAAAACCACATTCCTAACCATTACTCAACAGCTCATGTCAGGAATGTTCCCCTGGCCATAAGCGAATGGATATTCAGTATGCTCTCCAATAGAGCAATAATCTAGAGGCATGGTTAGAGGCATGGTTACGAGGGGGTGTCCACAGGAAGTGGTGCTATCACCACTTCTCTGGAACATAGTTCTAGATACCCTGGTTAACCAACTCAGCAGCAACGGTTTCTACACAATCGCCTATGCAGACGATATTGCTGTCCCACAAAGCAGTATGTTTGAGAAAACACTATGTGAGAGATTACAAGTTGCTCTCCGACTAGCAAGGAACACTATCTATAAATCCTAAGAAAACAGAGATAGTCCTATTTACCAGGAAAAGAAGAATCACGGGCTTAATACCCCCAAGGATTCTAAACTACAGTCTAAATTTTTCTGACGAGGTGCAGAACCTTGCTATTACCCTTGACAGAAAGTTAACATGGAACTCACACTTAGATGGTAGAGCATATATTGCCTATGAGCAGTGTCGACGAACAATCGGACGCACCTGGGACAATGCTAACTTACGGAGGTATTGCTTGGGTACCAAAAGTACTACAGGCAACAGCGATTAACAAACTAAACCATATTCAGCGGATGGCTTGCATAAATATAACAGTTGCCATGAAAACAACACCAACTGCTGCAATGGAGTTGATCATTGACACCACGCCTCTAGATATATATGTTAAAGAGGTGGCGCTAGTGACAATAATGCGACTGCGCTCAGCTGATGCAAACCTTGATGTAGGAATGAGACAATTGAGAACTCGTTTCTGGCGGGAGAGCTACCACTGCTACAGGCATGCTGCGACTCAATTGAACCAAAAGTTTGCCTTTAACAAACCCTACAAAATCGAAACAAGACAGTATAGGGAGACAAACATGGCAAATGCCTATTGCATATACACCGATGGCTACAAAATGAAAGAAGGCTCAGGATGCAGGATATACTCCAGATCACTGAACCTAAGAATAAAGTGGGGCATGGGCAAAAATGCCAGCGTATTTCAGACAGAACTGGCTGGTATCTCCATAACCGCAAAAGAGATAACCCAAAAAGGTATAACAGGAAAAACTATAATGATCTGCACAGATAGCAGACAAGCGCTACTAAACTTGAATAGACATCGTGTCACATCAGGGTTAGTAATGGAGTGTCATGAGTGTACGCGTTCGGCGAGTCCTGGCCCACACCTGCACACATAAGGGAGTCTATGTATATAATGTCTCCTGGTGACTTGTCCACCTTCCTAGAAATGGCAGGATGGACAATGAGCTAAGGGCGACAGCTCCCTGGGAGGATGCACAATGGGTCAATTGTGGCCTAAGTGCTGTGAAACGTAATTCGCCTTCCCTACTCTACAGATACAGATACTATATAAAATATTTTTCAACTCGAATATCTGGGGGAAGTTAATAGAAAAAGCGTAGGATCTCGTGGATGTCGAGATTTTTACAGCCTCATCGTTTTTTTAGTAACATTTAAGCAAAAAAACGACTTTTATTAAGCGACTAAAAAAAAACCATAACGCAGTAAAAATTTCGATACCCACGAGATAAAACGCCTTTTCTATTGACTTCCCCTTAGATATTTCAGTTGAAAAGAAGCGCCCAGTAATTTTTGGATTTTTCAAGTGCTTTTTCGGCTTTATTTCCTGGCTTTGTAGAATATCATTTACGTAAAAGTAACCAATGATATGAATTCTCGATTTCCACTACATTCAGACTAAATATTCAGTGTCAATAGATCTTATTAGCAGTTTCACGTGACGATTCTGCCGACGCTGTGTCTCTGCCACCCCATAATGGACATAAAGTGAACCGCTGGATCGAAATGTCATGGCTCGATTAAATTCTTGCTTCTGGGTATTGTGCATACTTCTTTACCGCTGTAAACTTTTGTACTAAATAGAACAAATTGTTACTTCCTGCATATATCTCCCGTGTAAGATAGGCAATGATTTTAGTAAAGGTTCAGTAATAAGTTCTCAGTACAAACTCAAGCTTATAATTCTTTTTTTATTACCTAGTTCATTATTTTTTAGTTAGCGGACTTTCAATTTCAATATATTTAACAAATTTCGATATATGGACCAAATCTTTTGATTAAATACACAAACCTACAAAAATTACAACATCGTGTAACGATCGACAAAGACTAGCAAAAACAATGTCTAAATAAACAAAAACCAACTTACCTTAGCGTCAATGTTAAGATGTTTTAACTCCAAGAGTTTTTCCTTGCTATTAAGTAACAACAAGTCTGTTAAATAAAAATTAAAAAGCATTGAAGAAGAATCTCCAACTCCATTTTTATCATCCGGAAATACTGAACGATAATTAAGCGCTAATGACTTCAGCGAGGAATTATATTCTATATGTCCATTATCTTTGACACCAGTTAAGGAAGTATCATCAATGTATAATGAGCAATTCTAAAACAATAATTTATATTTGATAAGTTCATATAATTTTAATTTACCATTTTTATTGGGAATAAGCCACAATTTTACTTTAAAAGAAGTTTATTTTGAAGTTTCGATTTCTACTTCGAAAATCGTTCTAAAAATACAAAACATTACCGTTGTATTAATTGTTTACCGTTTTATAAAATATACTTACCTTTGGAATAATAGGCCTAAATCTTTGGAAAATATCGTCTTCTTTACAATAATGTTCATAAACAATTGAAGACTTCCTACTTATCTTATTGGGGTCATGAGCTATGTTATAAAATGCTCCATTAATAACGGCACTACTCTGTGACATTTTTATATGCAGTTTCTAAAAGATAAATATATAATGCAATACTGAATATAATTTCCATCAACATCTGTAGCAACAGTAGTTGCTACAGTTTGCTGAAGATTGGTTATATTCAAATTTACCGTAATTCTTCAATATTTGCTATCGGATATACAGACATATATAAACTTTCCAATACTAACAGAACAATATAAACAATATAACCGACAAATCTCAATACTTAAGGAGTAAATTGGCCAACCAGTGCATCCTTCCTACGTTGACATGTAGATGTCAAACTTGGACCATAACCAAGGTAAATATAAACAAACTAGCCTCAATAGAAAGGGCAATGGAAATGGCAATTTATGTATACTACTGTCAGATAAAAAAACAGAACCATTAACGAATGCTGGTATGCCATTCAAAACTCGATTTTAGAGAACGTACAAGAGTCTTTGAAAACACCTACCATGTGGCAAAAAATAAGTGGATGACACAAGAAATTCTAGATCTGATGAAAGTTCGACGGCAACACAAAAATAGAAATATTATCGAATATCGTGAAATTAATAAACGCATAAAAAGAAAAATTAAGCAAGCCAAAGAATCCTGGCTTGAGAATTTATGTAAAGAAATAGAAGACCTCCAAAAAAAGCATGACAGCTTCAACCTGCATAATAAACTTAAATATACTGCCGGAATTAGAAAACAGAAAAATGCTCACATTCTTAAAAGCGCGGACGGAAAAATTTGTGATCATGAACAACAGTGCAAAGAATGGGAGAGATACATCACTGACCTTTTTGACGATGCTTCTAGGGAAAATGCTCCAAATACTGCCTATGACAACCAGTTGGACAGAGATCCCAATATACTGAATTCGGAAGTCGAAAAGGCAATACAGCAAGTAAAAAACAATAAAGCACCTGGACCAGATCAAATCCCTGCCGAACTACTTAAACTTTTGGATGAGGAAAGCATTGCCTGCTTAACCACTTTCTTCGACAAAATTTACAACGAAGGAAAAATACCAGATGATTGGTTAGAGTCACTGTTTATAACATTACCAAAGAAAAGCAGGCCCACCAAATGCAGCGATTTTAGACTAATCAGTTTGATGAGTCACACACTGAAGATACTCTTACGAATTATACAAAACCGAGTATTCCTTCTATGCGAAAGTAAGATGGGTGATAAGCAATTTGGATTTAGAAACGGTCTAGGAACTAGAGAGGCACTATTCTGTAATCGCGTTCTATTAAAAAAAAGTTGTGAATTCCGAAAGAATGTTTATGTTTGTTTCATCGACTTCGAGAAGGCGTTCGACAGAGTCCAACACAATACACTTTTCGACTGCCTACGGGCAGCAGGACTTGACCACTATGATATAAGACTGCTGAAATACTTATATTACAATCAAGTAGCCTCTATCCAAATTGGAGACAGTCCCACTAAAAAAATACCCATCAAACGTGGAGTACGGCAGGGTTGTGTTTTGTCACCCACTCTTTTTAATCTGTACTCTGAAGAAATCTTTAGGGAGGCTTTGGATGACAGACAAGAGGGAGTAAGACTAGGTGGAGAAGTAATCAACAATATTAGATACGCTGACGATACAGCCATTCTTGCAGAAAGTTTACAAGATCTCCAAACATTACTAAATCTAGTCAGTGAAGCAAGTTATCGGAGAGGCCTAAAAATCAACATTTCAAAGACAAAGTGGATGGCAGTTGGAAAGATCCATATAGATCAAGGTCTGCTTTCTCTTAATGGAGAAGAGGTAGAAAGGGTAAATCATTTCAAATACCTTGGCAGCTGGTTAAATGTAAATTGTGACTCTGATGAAGAGATAATATCCAGGATCGAAATATCACGTAAGGCTTTTATGACCTGGAAACCAGTTTTATGCAACAGAAACCTGTCAATGAACATTCGTAAGAAGGTCCTGAAATGTTATGTGTGGTCGATCCTATTGTATGGTTGTGAGACATGGACGTTAAAAACCACAATGCTAAACAAGTTAGAAGCATTCGAAATGTGGTGCTATAGACGAATCCTAAAGATATCGTGGGTTTCGCACACTTCCAATGAAGATGTTCTTCAAATGATCAACTCAGAACGTCTGCTCATAAACATCATAAAGAGGAGAAAAACAGAATACTTCGGCCATATAATTAGAGGACCCAAATACCATTTACTTCGCCTTATAATACAAGGAAAAGTGGAAGGAAAGAGATGGATTGGTCGAAAGAAACTTTCATGGCTGCGTAATATTAGACAATGGTGTGGTTTCACAGTAGAAGAATTATTTCGCGCAGCAGCCGACAGAGAAAGGTTTCAGGAAATTGTAAGCATGATGACGGCCAACGTCTGAATACGGACACGGCACCCAAAGAAGAAGAAGTCAGATAAAAAGAGGAACGACTGGGTAAGATCAAAAACAAAAGTCGAGGATATCACAAGAAAAATTGCCAAACTCAAATGGAGCTTCGAAGGCCTTATTGCTAGACAAAAAGACCAACGTTGGAAGAAGACGAAGAAGAGGAAGAGGATATAGATGTTTACAGAATGTTCATGAAGCAAGGAGAAAGAGCGTATAGCTGTATGTTATGCCATGCTGTTAAAACCATTGTGTGTACACCTGCAAATTTCGAGCAAAGCAAAATTTGTGTATGTACATCCCTCACAAAAAGTGTATAATGGCATCTGCATAATGTTCTTAATTGATTGTAGATGTTTGTTGGTCCTTAACAAATAATGCAACTTATGTCTGAAAACCTACATTTTTCAATAAATCTACTTAAATTGATATTCATATAAGAGAGTTGAAAGTACTGTAGATTCATAGAATAACAAATAAGAATGTTAATATATCAAAGATTATAAAAGGAAGAATCGCATAATTTGCATATTAAAAAAATATAGGCTCCTTTGTTTGAAAAAAAAAAATGTTTGAAACATTTGCCAGACGATTTTAATAATAAAGCATTGTTAATGGAAAGTAAGGCAAATATAACAAATAGCAATTGCACGTGTAAGTTCATGGTCATTTTTATACTGTTTATTTTGGCGAATATTAAAAAAGTATTTCAGATTACAAAACTTGATTTTAACCTTAGTCAAAAATCAAAATTACCATACAAATATAAAGGAAATAGCTATAAATAATACAATCAAAGGAAGTAGATACGATAATATCTAATTTATAAACTGAAAAAATATTTAAAAGAAACATAATCTAAAAATCTGGTGGGGTCAACGTTGATCATAATATTATCAATGAAAATAGATACTCTATCCTAAAAAAATATTTAAAATAACAAGGGAAATAATAGTCAACAAAAAATTCAATAACATTTGACTTCTTTTTGCATAAATATGGTGCAAGATAAAGGAAGGGTCCAGAAAATCTGGGACTATTCAGTATCATTGCCAATTTTTTATGTACATTATATAAATATGAGGAAGAGGAAAGGCATATGTTTACTATGGTTCATAGAACAGAATACAATAACAAGCATTGATGATTAAACACAAAAAGTGCTGAGAGTATACAATAAAATTCATGGCAGATATAATCAGAATCCGGATGCGGAGATTCTACTTCAGAAATAACTATAACAATATCGTAAGCTGTATATTGGAACAGTCAGATTGGCCCCTCGTATAGTATGTGGTGTATAATCTGCCATTTTGCTCCATAGTATCAACAAAGCTCTGACATAACTGAAACTTATTCCCCACAAGTGAAGACTTACTCCGCACCTTATGTGATCCGTCCAGATTATTTTAAAGCAATGAGAGACGTCACATTGAGTGGAAGGAACACAGCTCGTATGTCACCACTAATCAATTCACTCGCATCTGGGTGGGATCGTGCGTTGTCCAACAACAACAAAGCTTTCCGAGGCAGAATTTTGTTTATTAGGTAGGCATCAATGACTGGCACAAAGTCATTAAAAAACCAGTCCTTAAAAGTGTTACAGTCCATCTATGCATTGCGTTGGTCGCTATAGATTGTAAGTAAGCAATTTATTTGGACGTTTTTTGAATGCTCTTGGATTTCTGGAATTTCCGATTAAAAGAGGTTTTAATTTTAATGAACCAGAAGCATTGTTGCAAATCATGATTGCGACTCTCTCTTAGCTTTTTTTGTAACCTGGTGCAGTTCCTTCATTTTTAGCCGCGCTAGTGTTTTCGTTGGAAGCATTTTAAAGTTAAGGCCTGTCTCATCACAGTTAAATATTTGGTCTGAAGTTAGTCCATCTTTAAGGATAATGTCTTGTAATTTTAAATAAAATGTTCCAATTTCAGTTGAGTCAGCAGAAAGTTTTTCGCCATGTGTCGGATGCCATATTTCTTTTTCCATAAGTCAATCCATCCTTCACTAGCACAAAAGTTTTCTCCTCCATCCATAAACTTCTTCTGGAATTCGATAGCTTTTGCTTGGAGTATTGGACCACTTATCGGACTGCCCAATCCTCTCATTTGTGAAAACCACAAGAACAATGCCTCAGAAGTTTGTTCATAGTCCCCTTTCTTCATAGTCCCCTTTCTTCATAGTCTTTCGGGCCAATCCACTACCACCACTCACACTTCGGTTAACCCACTGTTCGATTTTATTCCGCTTACGCTTCCAATCTCCAACAGTTACTTCTCCGACACCTAAATCTGAAGCAACCTTCTTTATTGATTCACCCTTGTCCAACCTCTTAATTGCATTCACTTTTGTTTCTAAAGATACAACTACTCTGTTCCGCTTTTCACTCATATTGCACAGAAAGATGCTCTCTTACACTCACAAAAATCAACTTATGAAAAATTAATTATGAAACTTAAACTTATAAACTCGAAAAAATACACAAAACAGTACATAAAAGCAAAAATTTCACCGTACAGTAATTTGACGATCTGAATGACAACAAACAAATCGGTAGTTCAATTCACAATGATTAACATAGAAAGTAACAGAAGTTGTAGACAAAACACGACACAGAAATTTCTGGAAATAAGGCGGTGTCAGCTTAACCTAAACACAATTCTCTTCTTATCAATAATCCACAATTTTCAATGGATTGCCCATATAACAGCTGCCGATATAACTTGTGACCACCGACCCTTTTTTTATTACTCAATATTGTGATTCAACAAGTACAGCTATAAAAGTAAACCACAGGCAAAATTTTGCCTCAGTTAACCGAGGGGCTCGGATAACCAAGCTTGGATAATCGAGAGTCTATTCTATTACCAATGTTTTTGTAGAATACTTTGGCTCTGTATTTCAAACATCAAATAGTCTCAATAGTACACTGAATCAGGGGAGTTGTTACTTTTCAAAAATAACAGTTGAGAATGTTCTCCAAAGCATTAAAAGACTAAAACCCAAAAAAGCCACAGATAATGACAATATACCAGCATACATTTTTAAAGGTTGTGCAGAGACTCTTTCTGTCTCTCTCACACTAGTTTTTAATTTGTCACTTAAACAACGTAAATTTCTAGATAGCTTAAGCATGCAGTTATAACACCTATATTTAAATCTGGTAATGCTGGAAACATTGAGAATTATAGGCCTATATCTGTCATCAATTCAATTGCTAAAATATTCGAGAATGTGCCTTATAACAATATTTTTAATTACTTTGGAGATTTTGTCCAGAACAACATGTTTTTTACCAGGGAAGTCCACTGTGTCAAATTTGTGTGTTTTTACAAGTTCTGCAGCAGGGGCCATAAATAATAAATCTCAGCTGGATGTCATTTTTACCGACCGTACCAAAGCTTTTGATAAGATTGATCACTCTATATTTATTGAAAAGCTAAGCAAATTTGATTTTGATTCAGAAGCATGTATGTTTATGAGGTCATATCTCTCTGATAGGTTAAATCAAGTTAAAGTGAGGAACAGATTATCTAAGCCATTTATGTTGACATCAGGTGTACCATAAGGTAGCAACTTGGGTTCTCTTCTGTTCGCTATATTTATTAACGATTTGCTTCACTGTGAAGTGAAGTTTTCAACAAGCCTGCTATTTGCAGATGATTTTAAGATTTTTTGAGAAATTTTAACTCTGCCGGACTCTGAGATGCTGCAATGGGATCTGAACTCAGTAAGTCAATGGTCAATATAACAAAATGTTTCTAAACATTTCTAAATGTCATGTTTTTACTATCACTTGAAAAAGCCAATACATGGAGAACCAATACAAAATTTATACCACTGTACTTGGAAGAAAGAACACTTGCAAAGATCTTGGAGTAACGTTTCAGCAAAATTTGAGATTTAATGAACATTTTCGGATCATCATTGGAAAGGCATACAGAACTCTTGGCTTCATAATTCGTAATTCAAATTTTTTTAAAAGATTTGAAACTCTAATATCATTATACAAAGGACTGGTAACACCTCACTTGGAGTATGCCTCTATTATATGGGCACCACAAGCTGAATTCAATGTTCATCTGATTGAAAAGGTCAGATTGTTTGGTATCTATCCATACATGATTTCCTATAATATGTTTACTTGTTGTAAAGTTCAGCTACTGGATAAGAGATGAAGTTTTCATTCAGCCCTTTTTATTTACTATGTTGTAAATAACATTAAATATAAAGATTGCTTCTCAGAATTACTTTTTTCTACATCTCAGAATTACTTTTTTCTAGGATACCCTTAATTTATTACTAGCATTTTTAGAATTGTTATTGTTTGCACTACAGGTATTATTGCTGTACCATTCAGATATGAGTAAAAATTGTGATTTTAAAATGTGTTAGTCTGAATATTACTGACTCTCAATTACTGCATTAAAGTTAATCATATTATATGGTAAAAATAAGAGTAAACAAAAGAAAAAATTAAGAATATAGAGATCTATTTTAGTAATTGCTGAGATAGATCCGATAGCTGAAATATCTAGATATAGAAATCTTAATTCTTAGTAAATTATAAGCATATAATAAAATAATAATAGGTAATTCGTACCTCCACAGATAATGGACCTTGTGCAACCAAAATGGTCTCTAATGATATGCCAAAGCTGAACTCTGCCAATCTCGCCTCTTTTACTTGATGCTCTGCATGTCTTAATACTTTAATTTCAGCATCCATCAAGTTAAGGGTTACCAATAAAGACTTGGCATTCTTTAAAATGCTTCCATCTAAATGTAATTCACTTGCTGTAGCATGTACAAGACAGCCTGGTGTTTCAGAGCGCAATAACATTGCTGATATGTTATAAACATGAACTGCCATAAACTAAAAAAAGATAAAACTCTAATATCCAGAAAAAAACAATAATATAAATCTATTACCTGTGCGAAGCTGTTAATAAAATGTGGTACTTTCTTTTCTCTAAAATCTATAATATTATTTGAAACAACTGATGTGTCTTCTGGTACTTTTGTACTTAAATCTTTGTTAATTCTTACATCTTTTACCATTAATGTGACTAGTTTGGTTAGATCAGAATTAAGGAAACTACTTTTAATTCCAATTTCATGTATATGCTAAAAGGGAAACACCTTACAATGAAAGTTTTAGTTTATAGTTTTATTTATATACTTACTATGTTAAAGCCATTCTTAGATAAATGTATATCACAGAGTTTCAAGTAAGGTAAGCCTATTCTGCCTATTTTTAAGGAAACTTCATACTTCTTTTCGAAATGCCAAGAAATTATCATAGGAAGGATCCTAAAATTAACGCAGTTAATTTATATTGTCATAAAGTTCTACACGAATACCTACCAAGAAAGCGTGAAAAATAAAACAAAAACTATGATAATAAATATAAGTAATCCTCCCATGTTTAAACTGTGTTATAAATGTATATTAATAATTGTTACATCTTAAAAATACTTATAAAATTCGAAGGTCTGATTTTTATTTTCTTGTTTTTGAATAATTTTGACAACCGTTATTGACATATGAAATGTCAACAGGAACAGATGTCGCTAACTAGTGTTAATTTAACCAACAGAGTCCATGGGCGTATCTTAAAAATTATTATTCCACGTTAGAGAAATCAGGATACTGCCTTGCTTCGAATCTCGGAAATCTTACAGTGACAAACAGTGAAAGTATTAGGTGAAGGATACAAATTGTGGTATGCGGTGAAAAGTAACACTAATAATGGAGTTGATTAATTGCTGATATAAAAATAACAGATACTGCCGTAGAAGTTAAAGGAACGAGTGATGGAATAATGTTAATGAAATTTATATTTGCTAAGGAAGTGTTGAATGTTGTGTGTATGCTTGTTAAATCTGGGTCTGGGCACAGAATAATAAACAATCAGAATGTCCACTCTCAGATGCCGCCTTTGAAGTTTTTCAGCACGTGCGCCATGTTTTAGAAGGAAACACAATAATACAGACATATGATTTTTGAGTTTATGTAATTGTTTATATGTATGTTTAATTACATTATAGTTATGTTATTATATTTAACAGAGTTAATATAATTGTATAGTATGTCTATGATTGCCGTAAGTCAATTAAACCGGGTTAATTTTTCTATGCACACCACATAAACAACACTAGTTCCCTCTAAAACATGGCGGAACGTCTGCGCGAAGGAGATGCGCGTACTTAATTTTCCGTGGAGAGTGGGTATTCTGATTGTTTATTATTCTGTGGTCTGGGTGAGACTGAAAGACAAGTTGATTAGCAGGTGTTTTAAGAAAATTTGGACAAAGGTCAGATGAATAGAGAAGCAGTGTATTAGTACAAGTTTACACAAATGTTTCGCTGTACATTCGCCAACTCATTGCTGAAAAACGTCGTGCGAGGAGAACCTGGCAAAGATCTAGAAACAACATAGATCAACATATGTACAATAGACTACATAGACGACTTGGTGTAGCCATGAAAGGTACAAGCAACGGAACCTTTGAACATTACATTAGAAACCTTACAGCATATGACCAGAGGTTGTTGATGACGACTAAAATGCTTAAGAAACCATACACAACTATCCCCCCATCCGTAAACGAAATGGCGAATGGGGTCCTTCCAACAAAGAAAAAGCGGAGGTCTTCGCTGAATATCTTACAAGCGAGTCAGCAGACCCTGATAGTGGAAGAAATAACTAGCGCAGTATCTCAAATGTCCCCTCCGATAAAAAGTTTTACTCCTACAGAACTCAATAAAGAAATAAACATTCAACTCACGCAAGGCTCCAGGTTATGATGTATTCTCGGCAAAGTACTAAAACAACTTCCTCGCAAGATCATTACTATGCTAACAGTTATATTTAACCGCATGCTAAGCTTATCATACTTTCTAAAATATATGGAAATTCGCTGAAATCATTATGATCCTTAAGCTAAAAAAATGTGCAATGAAGTAACATCTTATCGACCCATCAACGTACTCCCAACAGTTTTTAAAAGATTGCTGCTATTGGTGGAGAGGATAAATGTATTACCACACTTTCCACATTTTAGAGAGGCTTAGTTGAATACCTAATTGCTTCAAAATATTTATTAAGGACCACTGAAGCAATAAAACACTAAAGACGTATTTTTCCTTCGATTTATTCATAGTGAACTTCAGGGCTGATTCTATATTGATAATTATCGCAATTCTGATAATAATAAAAAGAGTTACAAAATATCATTAGCTTTGCAGTGCTAGGAGGCAGTAACAAAGATATAGAGTATTAAGAGAAACAAAACTGGTATATGGTTTAACACAAAACACCGGTTCTAACGTTAGCGCATCTATCACTCACACTGCACGCACTTTTCGGGATCGACAACACATCTCGTCTTTACTTGCCGAGAGGCAAATTCGCACTGTCCTAAGTTAGATAACGCGGGGTGGAGAGAGATTATGAGGAAGAGAAATAACTATATTATGATTACAATATTATAAATAGTATTATAAATAAAACAGCTATAAAGAATAAAAGCACATCATCAATTTCTAACATTAAAATCACTCCACTACCTAATGAGAAAAAGTTTTGAAGAAAATAAATACTCCAACGTTAGATTCCTAGATATCTCACATGAGCTTTTGGCACAGAGGTCTGCTCTACAAAGTAAAAATAGCACTATCCAGTAACTATGTAGAGTAACTGTTTGATACGTTTATTTGGTAAGTTCCCTATTCAGCGCATCGCCTCTCTAGTCGACGGCTGGTGAAGGCAATTAAATTTTATGACTTTTTTATCTGGGAATGTATCGTAATATTGTCGTTCCGTGGGTCTCCCCTCTATTTACAGTCACGTGACACGCTGTCAGATTTGTGAGGACGTTGACGTTTTAGTATTAAGTCTTATGGGATTATTTTGTTAAACTTAAATATTTTATTTTGTGGTGTTAACATCCGGATACAATTTTTAGAATTAATTAGTTATTTATTTATAGTGACATTTATAGTTCAACAAAAATATTTTTTGTCGTTAATAAAGATTTATTAACATAATCTGCGAAAGTGAGGTTATATTATACATGATCAACCAATGATCAACATCCATGGTACAATGAATATGTTCATTGTACCAGTACCATTCACAAAAGCGTCCTGATAAAATTTCAAACAATCGCCACCATGAGCAGGTCAGTCGATTTTGCTTTGACACTTTCTTAACCCTCGGAGCGAATTTGATTTATGTAGATATAGTCAGTCGAATTTGTACCTCCGAAACAAACTGAATTAAATAAAACTTTAAGTCACATGTGTCTATTTTAATACAAAAGTAATTTTTTGTAATAGAAATTTAATTTCGTATTTATTCGAACCAGGAGTCTCTTGCGAAAATTAACCGTAGGACATTCCTAACGTAATAAACTATTTCCCCCTACTCAAAACCTACACATCAAATATATATATATATATATATAATATATATATATATATATATATATATATATATATCTCGCTGTAAAATTCAATGACCAACAATCCTAACTCTGTCCTATTAACTTCGGAGTCCCCCACAGAAGTGTTCTCGGACCGCTGCTTTTCTCAACCTACACAGCCGATATACCAGAGACTAATAATCCTACAATCCCTTCCTTTGCTGACGACGTAGCAATACTAACTATAAATGAAGATCCCATACAAGCCTCACAAGACCTGCAATTTCATCTACACATACTCAGTGATTGGTACCTACATAAAATAGCAAACAGAAGTAAACAAAACAAAATCAATTAAAATAACATTTACCAATCGCCGTAACACATGCGCACCTATAAGAATGGACAATATAAGAATACCAACAGTTACAGACTCTAGATACCTTGTCCTCAATCTTGACCAACGTCTGGCTTGGAAGAAATATATTTAGACCAAAAAAGACAGCTCGACTTAAAATTTCGGCGTATTTATTGGTTCCTTGGACGTAAATCAAAACTTAACATCCAAAACAAAGTTCTTCTTTAAGTCCATACTTAAACCTATCTGATACTAGGGACTACACCTATGGGGCTGTGCAAAGCCAACATCGATCGATAGTGGATGCACCATGGCACGTAAGTAATCAAATACTTTACTACGACTTAGTAAGGGAATTGTTCAATAATGGTCCAGCCACAAGGAGAGTAGATAGAACCTGTCCCAAGACCTATTTCAAACCTAAACCAAAATAGAATAAGTTGAGACATCATTGGATGTCTCTCACCTTCAACGCCAGTAACACATTTACTTAATACTCAATAATGATATAGATTTTAAATAAACATCGGTATAAAAAAAAGTTGTATGAATTCTGACTAGACAACGTTATACACTTTTAATTTCTAAAAATGATACGAGAAGTTCAGCATGCTTCGGAGACCACGTAAAACACTCGCGCGTCGGTCCTCTCGGCTAGGGTGCATCGACACTTAAAACTACTTGAAACATTGTTAAAAATGCAATTGGCGCCGAAACTATCCAAAAGAATCTCCCCGGCAAAAAATTCAATACAATATTATCAACTATATACGATTATTATTATTATCAACTTGTTATACATTATTTAAAATGATTATTAATATTTAGGTTACAATTTTTTACTACATATTTGTAATAAATTATTAATTACATAAAATTGTTTTCATAAAAAAGTCTGAACAATTAAAAGTATGTCAATTACCCTTTAAAAATAATATGTGAACTACACTGGGTAAACTGTGTTGTGTTGGTCAAATTAATATTCGATTTTATATAGCACGTCAAGTGGCATCCATATAATACTAAATAATATTAATTTCAAAAGTTCGTATTGTGGTATTGATGGATAAAAATAGAACTAATTATATAGCTTTATCAGCCCAAAAAATAATTGTATCTACCTGCTTTTCTTAAATGAGTTTTTCATATACGTAATGGTAATCTAGGTCAATAGCCTAACTACACAATTCTACCTATTTATTTGATTTTTTTTTTAATTACCAACTCTTATTATTTTAAATATTAGTAATTTTAAATATGAAGTATAGATAATTCAACAGGAATTCCTCCACTGGTAAGTGCTGGGTTCAGCTCGAGTAGATCAGTACTACCGACCCAAGCGCGGATGAAGGAGGAGGCTTAGTCATATAGGTAATAACAATAACCCAATCCCATAAAAAATTCATCCTTATGAAATTCACAGTCAGAAAATCTGGACGAAATTTTCGACGACGACCAACGCAACGTTTTTCTATCTATCTTGATGCAGTTATTCACGTCTTTTTTAATGTTAATAAAATAGAAAATCTGTCACTAAATTTATATCTAAGGAAATCTCTCGTGAAAATTAACTAAACAACATTAAAATAAATGGGCAACAATGCGTCGATAGACTTCATCTATTAACTAAATAAACAATTTTGCATGACCATTTGGCAGTGGGAAATATGTGTAGGTGTTGGATTCCTTATAATTTTACTGGACTGCTGTACAGTACATAAGAAGGCACGTGT